CTGCATGATGAATTATTTGATTGATCAATTGGATATGTACTAATATCTTCATAACCTAGTGGTAATAATGTACGAATTGATACAGCATCAATAAAAATTCCATTTTTAATATTATCATTAAGCTGTGCATATGTTATTATAATAGAAGTAACAGTTGAATCAATAGATGATTGTGAAATAAGTGTGGCACGTACATCAATACATGTATAATGCCAAAGTTTATCAGCTTGTGGTGAAAATGATATACTTGGCCATGATGTTGTTGATGTATCACTACTGATTTGTATACCCAGAGAAATTGATGTAACATAACTATTAAGTATACGATATGCAAAACATAAATAGTTACCAGCTCTAGTATTTCCATTCGCTAATGTATTATCATTTGCTGAACATTGTCCACAAAATGCATTCGTTGTTATTGGTGTTTGATCATATACACAATTGGATTCAAAATCTTGTAAATAAACAATGGATCTTGTTAGTTTAGCATTGTTTATTGATGATGGACATTGAATACTAAATAAATTATTTATTTCTGAAGAAAGATCAGCTTGTGTTACATTAGAATTAATAAAATCAATATAATTTGTTAATTGCCCATCTAATTCAAATGCAATTTTTGAATCAGAAGCAATACCTTGAACAACTTCAGTAATATTTGGTACATTTGATGATGTTGATATACATGTTAATAATGGAACATCACCCATGTCTTCTGGAAATGTTATTATATAAAGTGTACTTGTTGCTGTAACTGATACTAATAATGGAGATATAGTCGGTAAATCATTAAGTGCTGCTTGAATGTCACTAGCTGTTGGTCGTCCACTTTGTATAGCTAGAAAATAAAAATTGAAATAAAATAATTTCCATCAAAAGAATAAATAGAAACTCTACCTGTATAAACACCACGAAAACCAATTTGAAATATTGAATTATCAACTTGTAATGATTGAACTTCAGATGTTCCATTGGTTGGACTAACGGTATATGTAATTTGCTAAATTTTCAAAATTAAAAAGAAAATAATGATCAAATTTTAGTATTAAAAAAACGAATATGTTTTTTTTTCGTTTACTTGTTGTTCAGGCGTAACTATAGTAGCAATAGCAATACGTTGAATTTCATTGAATACTAAACTTGATGTTGTTGCTGTTAATGTTGTTTCATGCATTCGTGCTTGAATACCTAATCGTAAATAGCCATTCGAACGAGAACCAACACAAAATATATAATAACTAAAAAAATTCAAAACGAAAAGTTATTTTTTAATGTTTGTATATTTTTACTAAAGTTATTTACTTTGTATTATTATTTAATAAAATATCTGGTGAATGATTATTAGTAGCACTAGCAATAAGTACTTTATTTGTTGGGTCATCGTTTGTACTAAGAAATAGAGCAGCTGCGCCATTTGTATCCAAAATAAATGTAAATGTAGCTGTTTTAGGTACGCGTACGAAACCAATAAGCCAAACTGTTTCAGCTGATGATGAATTTGAAACATAGAGAGCATCATCTGTCCATGTGGGCGTGCCAGTCTGTGTTGGTGGATTACTACTGGATAATGTTGACTGAAAATTTTAAGAAAAAAAGTATTTGCTTAATAATTCCGATAAGAAATGATTTTATTTTTATTTTTACTTGTGTTGTATAACCTGATGTGCTATACATTTGTAAACCACGGCCACCTTGATGAAAATTAAATATTTATTTTGAAAAATAAAATTTATAAAACACAAAAGCTTTTATCTAACCTTGATATTGATTTTGACTTGATGATGGTGCAACAGGTGTTTGACATTGAATTGTTGTTGTTGTTGAACTTAATATTGTACATGGTTGATTACCAACTTTGACTACTAATGGATAACGAGTACTTGTACTAAAATAATTACCATTGATGTTTAACATTGTACCACCTTGTGTACTGCCTGTATTTGGTGTTACACTTGAAATAACTGAACAAAAATGATAAAGAAAACAATTATAAATTTCTAATAAATCAACAAACCGGCATAGCTTTGAAACATATATAAATTTTCATCAGCTGATATTCGATATAAATTTGATCTAGCTAATGAACGACCATATTCATTTGTAACAAGCATAGTAATATTGAATAAACCTATAAATTATGATTAATGTTAATAAATAATTATTTACAATATAAAAAGAATTACATACCAACTTCATTATCTTCAAAAAAGCATATCAGAGCTGTATCATTCGCTGTTGTATAACTAATTATTTAAATAAAGTAAGAAAAAAGTGTTTAAGAAAAACAGAAATTTTCAAAAATTAAAATATTTACGTAGCACCACTTATTGGATCAATGACATTGCAAAGATGACCGCCAACATAGATTCTAAACAATAACAAATAAATTTTCTTTCGAAAAATAATCAATAAAAAATGATTTCTACCGAGAAATAAGTGGATTATTATCTTGTGCACAACCGTCGACATCTCGTGAATAACATGCTGTTTTAAATGAATCAGCTAATTCAATTAACGATTGAGGTGTTCCTGATTGTGGTGTAATACTAGTAATAATTGGTGTGTGACTTAACATTGGTGTAAAAGATGCTTGTCTTGAATCATAATATTGATAGAGTGGTATTAAATAACCATTTACATAAACTCGAATTTGATAATAACCTTCAGATAAAATTGGGGCATAACAAGTTAATTGTGTATTTGTTATTTTATCATTATGCATTTCACAATCATAAACTGAATAACCATCAACTAATTGTACTGTATTTGTATTTAATATTGATGGTACAGAATTAAATCCATTTTGCGCAAATCGATTACCATGTATCCATATCATAGTACCACCTTGTGTGCTACCACTATTTAGTGTCCAATAACCACCTTTTCGCACCGTAGAATAAAATATAACGGCATCCGTAGGTACTAAACGAGTCACCAATGATATTCATGTCATATAAGTATTGTCTATATCTTAGTTAAAATCATTTCCTTACCTCGGCAGAACGACCATGTCAGCGCAGTCTTATTTTGATCCACTGTAATAGCACATTGTGGTCGAAAATCTTGGTTATTCGGTCCGAAGATGGTACACGTTTTGTAGGTAACCTAAAGTAAAACGGTCATATTGTACTTAGAGATTAGCATGAGAGGCATGATATAAACAATATTTATAAATTCATGGATTCAATCACAAAAAATGCTCATTATAATATAGTACTAGTTTCCATGTTATTTATGATCACTTAGGCTATGTAGCACGATTTCGAAAGAGTTCGCTAACAAACTTCTTTAAGTAAATGTTTTGAGAAGTTTGATTAAGTCCGAATTGCTGAATGTAGGCTTGAGCTCGTTACATATTTAGACTTAGTAATAAACGAGGAGTCACTGAATACCAGTGTAGCTTGTTCCAAGTCAATGCTAGGTATGAATTCATCTGATTCAACTTTTTTTTTGCATTAAGATATCATATGCATCTTTTTTACTTATTTCAATCAAGCAATTAACACAATCAGATTTTCTGAATAATATATGAATATGAATGACCGTTGCTATTAGATTACTTCTCATCGAGACACCTGGAAGTCAGTAACAGAGCCATAGAAATCCGCTCATTAAAGATCATGATTCAACCCTAAGATTTCACATAAACTCTACGTATTGGAATGAAACATGGGATAATATATTTAGCATAAGTCATGCTGCCAACGATTACATATAAATATATCAACTAATTAAATCGAGGTAGGTTGATATTTTTCTTTTGATCTTTCATAACAGTTCGAAATTCTATAAAACGTTAATATTCTCTATGGTCTACAGTTTCATATATATTGAACAAAAATTTATTGCTCAGAGAGAGAGAGAGATCACGTAGGGTATTGTAGATCTACACATTGCTGAGTAGAGTGCTATGGCTTTTGAGAAGATTAACGTTTTATTTTAAGATAATTATCACTTATGTGCATTGAGCCTCAAAGTATTAACACATTAGTGGCGGCTGTCCCATATATGCTTCAGCAAGGTTTTTCAATATATGGTCTGTATGGTATCTAAAGAGTTTCAACTATCACAAGCATAATGAGTCTGATGGCAATGATAATTTTATAATAAATACGTATTCCCAACCCAAAATTGTGAACACACTGTTTCATCTGTCTGAAAACGGTGTGGGTGTAGCATGTGGAGTATGGGTGTGGATCTTTTCTTCATCCACATCCACTCCATCTACATTCACATGCACTCTATTGGCTTATACGTAGTGCCAAGTTTTGAAGCTTATCACACATTGAAACACATCCAATGAAAATTATATCGTAAAGACAAGAGATCAATGGTTCACAAAGTTTGCAGCGATTAAGAAAGCTGCTTTTCCTTCCAGACGCACGATTTTTTCATATAATGTGATAAAAACTATTTTTCTATTACATATGAATACATTTCTCACCAAAAATACCTCGCTGTAAATGGATTAAGTCTATTATCTAGAAGTATATGTTAACACTTGCTCGTTGTCGATGTTTTGCATTATGTTGAATAACTTTTTGAATAGTGTATTCTTTTAACAAACAGGTAATGCCCCGGTAAATCACGCTCGGCAGTAAACGACCGTTCACTAACCAAATACGGCGAAAAACGGCAACTGTTTACGTTAGTCATATACGATGCGTTACGACATACTACGGCGATTGTAAACATTGACCGTAAAATATCATCGGAAACGAGAAGCTTGGGAAAATGGCGACTGTACACGCTAATATTATTAAATGTCGTAAAACACAGTATATGGGAGCACTATACGGTAGTCGCTTACGGGAATGGTAAACGTCATTGTGTCATGATTTATGGACGACGTAAACCATTCCATAAACAGACACCGTGTACGATTCCTGTAACAATATGTCGACAGTTTACGTTCATTGCATAATATCGCGACGCACCGTCTTTGTTGATTGTAATGCGTTCGATATTAGGGATACGCAAGCTGAGCTCAAGCTCAAAAATAATGAGCTGTTGAAAACGCTCACTGAGCCGAACTGAAATATTCGAACGGTTCATTTCAGCTGAACTTTTAGAACAGCTCATTTCAAATGAACCGAACTCTTCGCACAGCTCATTCGAAGGAATCTAACTATTTCTAGGCGAACTCATAGGTTCTAGAGTACTACCCTACAGGAGTGCCCATACGCCCTCAAGTTCTATTATTCGGAGATACAATTGTGTCCTCAAGCCCTATTATTAGGGGCACCCTTTGAGCTTGAAGTCTTATTATTGGGGGTCACCGTTGGATCCTCAAGCGCTATTATTCGAGGTACCCTTGGGCCCTGAAGCGCTATAATTAGAGGGTACCCTTGGGTTCTCAAGTCATATTATTCGGAGATATCCTTGGTTCTTCGAGACCAAATGCTAAAGCTGTATTTTCGACGTATTGTACTGAGTAGGAGCCCACACATATACCTATCAATTGATAGAGCATCCTCAATAACCCTGTGGTTGGTCCGAATATGCCTATATGTTGTCCTTATAATAAGAGGAAAAAGTTCTTATCAAAGTAAGACTTCTTGAAAAGATCATAAAAATGCTATAAACATGAACAGAAAATCACACATCAACAATTATTCTGATGTGTCGGAGAGTTCTAACCTTTTGAGTTATAAATCATAATCTTTACATAAATAGGTGTTCTTCTCTTTCAGCTTTTTCATTCATCTTTTCAAAGAGAAAACGTCAATGAAATACTGCTAACGACATCTATATCATTTGGACAAAGGCAAAAATTATTTAATCTTCTAGAATTTTAAGAGATTTTTCTACAGAATATTGAAATAAAGAGTCCCGGGTGAATTGAATATATTATCAACTACCAAGAGTAAATTTTGAAACATTGATGTTTAATGTATAGAAAAGCAAGCTTTTAACTCTAAGCTCAATGCTCTATTAGAATCTGTTTTATTCTTGACACTTACTCCATTATACTTGAATGGAAAAGAACATGTAGAACCACTTGTTGTGCTCACTATGTAAGAAAAAGAAATCGTTCTAAATATTCCAGTTATTCAATTTTAAATCTACACACCAGGACACATTGGTTGATTGGATGAGCTCAATTCGAAAACTGGATCCCACATATATGAGCATGTTTGACTACCTGTAAGTCAATTAAAATAAATCCATTTCTTAATCAAGTATAATTTATAAATTAAGTAAATCATACTTGCTAATTCTGCCAATAGTATTTGCAGAATGATTCCGATGATAATTGTTTTCGCTTTGCGCATCGCGTAAGTAATCCTTTTCTATTTTCAACACTTTCAAAAAATTCCTATCACTGTGAAAAATGAATTGTCTTTTATATGCAGCGAAAATCTATACTTTGCCTTCTCTCTCTCTCTTACAAGAGTTTTATTTGTACAGTAGCACCATGAGTGCCATATAATTCATTAACGTTTCTATGCACTTTCATCTGTCTTCAGTTTTTGTTTCAATAAAACGTAACGTATGCAAAAATAAAAAGTGATTTCATCAAATCAAGATTGATTGTTTTTTTTTCGAAGCGAAGAGAAAAATAGTAGTTTTAAAAAAAAAGAAAAGAAATACACACTTACTTCGAGATATTTCTAAATTGAGATGTTATTATTTAAGATTCTTTTTCTCTCTGCGCTTCGCTTCTCTTATATTGAAGGCATAATTTTCGAATTCCGTTTCATTGAAACGAAACCGTACAGGTGAAGTATTATGTTTTCGACGCAGAAATTGCTTTTCTTTGTAAAGTTTACTTTTCAGCCGCCCATATTATAGCTGATTCGTTCATACTTTTTTGCAGATTCTTAAGCGCTAATTGAAAAATTTTCTTATATTTCAACTTTGTTTATTTATTTTATTATTGCTTTTGAGCAAAAAAGCAAAAACAAAAGTACACAGATAGCTTCATTAGAATATGCCTGATAGCATTAACTATTTTTATTTACAAAAAAATGGTAATTTATTGGCTCTTTTTTGTTGACATTTATTGCACAAGATGTACTTCCACAGGCAGACATTTAACCTCCCCATTAATTTCCAAATGCTACCTAGAAAGTGATGACAAATTTCACTTTTTTTCTTTAGGGTTAGAAGTACTATTTTTTAGCAAAGAAAATGTACTTGACATTGCACACAATTACATAACAGCATTGTTTACGGTATATTTTAAATGTTTTTGTATCTGAGAGCGTTTTTCGTAAAGATAAAAATATTATTCCTCACTGTAAGTTTTTTTTCTTTTTAGAACAATGAATCGATATACGTTCACCCTTAATAGTTGATTATACAGATTTTAATTTAGTATCAGTCAAAAACTAACTGAGCGATGATTCAAAATATCTGATTAATTCTCCTACAAATTCGTTTTTCATTTAAAAAAGAAATATATAAAATCGAATCAAAAATCAATCTTACATAGTAAATAATTTTTACATCTAGGATGTTATTAATAACGAAGGATTATGAACTGGATAAACGGAAGAAAAAATTCTATATTCACACAAACATTCATACGGTCTAGTATCTGAGCATGAAAATGTGGTAGTGTTGTTGTACTTTTGCATCGTTTTTCTCAGAATTGCATAGCAATTTTTTGTAGTAAATGTCTTTGATAACATTTCTTCAATAGTAAATTCATTGTGATAAAACTAGCCTTTCGTTAGAGTTGTACAGAATGTTAATATCAATCAAAAATGTTGTCATATACATAAATTATAATTATCGTCGAAATATCATATTCATTTATGATCGTGCGAAATCCATTTATTAAAGGTATAATTGTTAGAGTCAGTATTCATCAAAAGCCGATTTATATCATCAATCAGTTGATTACTCTAGATCAATCGATAGTTTTGATTTTAGCAATAAGAATACGTCACCTATTCTGAGGATTATAGAAAAGATAGAGATCAGAATTGCTTTTCTAAGTTTGATCATGATGAAGCAAACTAAGATAATGCGCATGTTTAGAAAAAGGTACAGATGAGAAGTATTTTTGAAAAGAATGTTGGACCGCATTGGCAGCTTATATCGAACGGCAGATGGTATAAGGCAAGATCGTCAGTCGTGAAATGGTTGACAAACATTTTGAAATATTTTTCGTAATATTTCTTAATATACTCTTATGTCTCTTTTTCCTCTTTTGTTTCTATCGATAAACCATTTAATGTCCGACACTTGTAGAATACTGATATGCACAATTTCGTTTTGAGTTAGACTAAATAACTGACTCAAGATCAGTCAAACTCGTCAAAAAAGGAAAATGACTTAGCTATGAAATGAAATATTTGCATCGGATGCAATAACATATAGGTTCGACAGTTGGAAACAAGATGGTATGAATGTTGAAATGAGCAATTGGATGATACGAAGGTAATTTTACATTAGTTTCTTGAAGCTTCTAGAATGTGAATGTTCTTTTTGTTTTAAACAAACAAAAATCGTCAAATAAAATATTTCTTGATTATGTGTTTAGAAATAAAAGTGATGAATAAATAATTTTTTTGTTATTTTTAAACAATATTTTTTCAAGATATATAAGTGATTCACAAGTGAATCGTTCGTCATAAAAAAATGACGTCCTTTATAATTGAATATACATAAATGATTTACCTGTCATTTCAATAATTCAATTCTTTATTCAATATGTGTGTAACTGTCACTTCTGTCTATTGAAGACTAGATGACATAAAATCAAATCGAATTTATTTTGGTTATGATGAGTATTGACAAAAAAATATTTATTAGCATTCTGAACGTATATCTTATGACAGAAAAACACAAATTAATTTATTACTTGACAAACATTATCATGATCAAATCTCATAATCTACACTGTAAAACAAAAAGGTATTTTACCCAACTTTCAAGATTTGCCATTTTCCTACGAAACAATTTTAAGTTTTCGGTGGGGTGTGGGTGTGTGTGGGTGTGGATTTATGTCATATGAATGGTCATCAGTGTCATAATAATGGTCAGTTGTGGCATAGGAATGGTCAATTCTGCCAAAAGAAACATCATTTCTTTCATACCAAGCACCATTTGTGCCATGGAAGTGGTCGTTTGTGCCATAAAAATGGTCACTTGTGCCAGGCGCTTGTTACAGACAGACAGGCGGACACACATATACAGGGAAATTACGGTTTCGAGACCCTATTTTTTCTGTCTAGGGGAAAAGATGAATTGATTTCGAAAATTAACGTAGGTGAAGTTAGCCTCATATTCAAGTAAATCGGCCAAGATTCGGCGCCAGAGCTGCCCAAGCTGCGCCAGACAGCGCCAGTATGCAACTCGACGAGCTCTATCCAATGGTGACTTTGGATTTTTTTGTAGCTTTAACCATTCGTGCAAAAATCCCAAAATCCCAAAATCTCAGGTTTTTCCCAGGCAAATATCACTTTATCGGTAGTAAATTCAGCTAAGATTTCTGGGTGTGGGCGTGGGTGTGGGTGTGACCAGCTACCATGATCTATAGATTTCATCCTTACCAAAGGAATCATCAGATGGCAATTAATCTCAATAATTTTTTGAAGAAAAATCACAAGATTATTTTATTTCTGACATCAATATAGAATTAAAATAACTCATATATAAATGTTGATAAATTCGAATAACAGTAGTGTGACCAGCTACCATGATCTATAGATTCTGTTTCCATATGTTGT